AGAATAATAAAAATTTATATTGTGAGCACAAACCTCCCAAATTAAAGTTACAAAATGTGTCATCCCAAATCCCAAATCCCCCATATTTGCATCAGATGCCCCAAATGTGTGTCCCCAACATTTGTTATTAATAATTCCACCACTTGTTATAGTCTCCCCTCAAAATATTACATTCATATAATCCCAAAATAAGATGTAGTTTCAGGAGTTGACGAGCCTGCTCATGGCAGGGACAGTTGTGTGGTGAAGACATTTATTGGACTAAAATAAACTGTGATCAATAATTCAGTTAATGACTGATTGTTACATCATTTCAAGCCTCTGCAAATGCACAATTACACTTCGGCTCCGATAACCGACTCTCCTCCTGTCTCATAAAAAAACACGACAATGATCTTGTGGCACTCGTGATGTAATGACAGCTCTTGAATTCAGGCATATAAAAAGTCACTTTCACAGCTTATCTGAAGGGATGAAAATTCACAGACAACTGGGGGGAAACTGTATTGTGTATACACTGGTACTCGGTGGGGGTACTTTCCATCATTTTCAGGTCATTTTCTAAATAGAGGATGTCAGAAATTGTACACCATAAATATCCCTCTGTGTCGAAAGTCCATATCGCAGCTATAAAAGCTCAGTGTCCATTAAACCAGGGTGGGGATTCCAGCATAGGGATGCTTTCCCATCAGCTGATCTTTGCTGAGTCTTTATCGGACGTGTCTTTACTGAGGATGACATAATGTTAAAAAAAAAAAAAAAAGCTGTCTCAAACAAACCATTACATCAGCTGCAGATGAGTGCAGCTTGATTCTTAGGGGGTCGATGAAGTTCATTTGGGACACTCAGAACGGGTGCTCTGAGACAAATACCGTCAGACGTATGATGGAGCTGCCTCTGAAGTTGATGACATTGTTGACTGTGACCATCTCCAAGTCCAGCACCACCTCCCTGGGTCCCTTGATGGGCCGTGACAAGACGAGTGTGGCGCTCACATTGCTGGTTTGCTGGTAGATAAAGAAAACAGGGGAGGAATGTGAGGAATGAAGTGCAGGGAAGCGTTTGAATGTGTCAGCTAAGCATGACGGAGGAAATGAAAGTAGTAGAGCTTTTGTCGTATGATTCACAACTTCAAACATAAGCACAAAGTCAAGGAAGTTAGTGTGTTTTCCATAGTGCATGAGGTCAGACCTGCAAAGCTTGTTTAAACAACAGAAGGTTACTCAATAAGATATTGTAAAAACTCATGTGGTCATTTAAATCATGGTACAGATTATCTTTATAGTTTGAAATCCTCCTAAAAAGTCTCTTCTAAGTTTGTATTTTACTCATTTGAGAAACAAAAATCACCTTCCCAAATTATTATTATTAATTATACAACAATTATGCGCCATTCTACTGGCCTGGCACACTGCATGAGTGGTCAGGGCTGCCTATCACTTACTCCCCCCTACAGGCATTGTGCCCTATGTAATACTGTGTTAACTTGGTTTATAGGCCATTTTCACAGACATTTTGACTTTTCATAGTAGGAAAAGTGTTATTATTAACATTAACAATGGTTCTGCTCTGTTCAGATGTCTCAGTAATTTAACCATCATTCATTTTATTATGACATGTCAAAACATCTTTTGTGGAAAAGGGCTGTTGGTATGTAAACAAATGATATTAGAGCTGAATAATTCATGTTTCCACACATGTTTGTATTCAGAATCTGTTCAGAATCACACCTATATGAAAGTGATTTAGCTCAAGTAAGTAAAACCAATATATTTTATATTTTATAACATTTAAAATCTGGCATAGAAGCCCCAAAACATGGTAATTATTACAGCCCTTAACTTTCTTTATATGGTCCCCATATCAGACAAAATCTGTCCACAGAATTTTTTATATTTTGAGACTTGAGAGCCCACTGCAGACTATATTAAAACAAGGGATTGTGTCGTTAAATGGCTAAATTAAACAGGAGTGCATAGTTACTCCTTGATGGCAACTTTTGTATATCACAAAAATCATTTTGTTTCTATGAAAAGATCAAGAGTGTGATACTATGAGTGATATTCAGTCTGATGCTTGTGAATAGAAATTATACACATGAAGTGATTCTGATAATAATATGCAAAATAATCACATAAGACCATTTCTGATGATTTTGGCAACATTTTGGTAACTAAACGCTCATAGCTGTGGTGTTTCTGTGCTCTGTACATATTGCTTAACACTCAAAGAGTAGTGCAGTTATCCTTCCTGCTCAGTTCTGTACAGAGTTTCTGAAGGTGGCACTGTTCTCTTTGTCTGTTAACTTACTTACTACAAAGTTCTTGCTCTCTTTATTGCTAAGAAACTTGAGTAGCTTGCTGCTTTTAGCAACATAAACCCACTGCTTCCTCCTGTATGTATTTTCCATCAAACAAAAAAAGGAAATCCATTTAATTTTATTCCTCTGAGGCGTTGATGTCTGCTTGTGAAATTTCAGCATGAGGTTTTATCGTTTCATCTTGTTCCTTCGCCTTCATATCTACAGGTTAGTGAAGTGTCTCATTAATGTCTGAAATACTCACTCGCATGTAAAACTCTCGTCCTTCGTTGCCCGACTTTATCTGGAAGATGTAGAAGGCGCCAGGGTAACGCGTGGTGGCCTGCATCTGGAAGATGTCTGCAGGCACACTGCGCCCCGACGACAAGTCCATGTGTCGGTACAGAATAGTGAAGGGTTTGTCCCTGCAGGCAGGGTTTTCAGCTGAGCACATACACTGACTGCATAGGAGGAGACACAGAAGGAGTTACATGTAACACATAAGTAAATAAATAAAGGTATGTTTGTGTGACAAAGAACATAAATGTAATGGCACACAGATGAAGATGCGTTCAAAGGTTGAAAATGGAGCTGTAATACTTACTTGTCACTAACTTCAATGTAAGGAGAGTGACACTGTAAAGAATCCAGGCATGTATAGCCTCCCTGGAAATTGAAACATACTTGTGCTGTTGTACAGGTGTTGTTACCAGTGTCACATTCATTGATATCTTCAAAATCAAACACACAATAATCAAAGTCAGTTAAAACATCATCATCATCATCATCATCATCATCATCATTATCATCATCATCAGAGAAACAACATTTAGAAAGCATCAACAATACAATAAGACTGTATCTGGTGGTACAATGGTACAAAAAACAAACAGAATACATAATAATACTAAATAAAGTGACACTTGTTTAATTAGCGGATGTAAAAACTGATCAGTAAACATGTAGTAAAGTACAGATGTGCCATTTATACAAAATAAAAAACACAAATAATGAAAACATATTCTTTGCTAAATGGATCAAAGTAACACAGGATTAAATTATATTCAAAACCTTCCTGTTAAAAAATAATCACTATACACAACAAGGGAATTCCCAGCAGTTTTTCAAGTAATGTTTCTATTTATAGCTGCCCAGATATTTGCTCTCTGTGATGCTGCATCTAACTGAGGTGAAACAGACGTACCTTCACAACTCCTGCCGTCCTCGTATACATAATATCCAGGCGGACAGATGCAGGAGAAAGAACCGGGGGTGTTCACACATCTGTGCTGACACAGAAACTCAGTGAAGCTGCACTCATCCAAGTCTACGGGGATAAAGAAGCAGGATTAATACTCATCAGAAAAAGATTGTGGGGGCCCACTGTCAATATTCATGCAGATTCAAAGAGGATTTAGGTGTGAATGTATTTGTCTGTCTACACTTTATTTCTGCCTTTTACACTCTGGCAGCCTCTCCAGGCTGCTGCACAGGATATGTGGTTAAAATATATGAATGGATAGACAGTGTTCTAATGTATAACACTATAAAAGAAAACATTGACAATATAAATCTAGATAAGTGTACATAGATTTCAAATGCACATTTTTATTTCTTTATTTTACATTTTGACAGGTTACTATATACAAGGTTAAGTAATAGTTATATATATGTGGGGAAAAAGTGAAATTGTACAGAACAGATCAGTCTTACTCGATGATGGTATGTCAAACTTTAACGCCCCACATATAGAAAATGCTCTGAAGACAGCCATGAAATTTCAATTTGAATGCAGAAGTGTGTGTCCCTGTTAAAATACTAAATTAAATATTGATTAGACACCATTAAAATATAAAAGCCCACAACCGGCTCGTCTCACCAATGCATGAAGTCCCGTCGGCCGCCAACTCAAATCCCTCGTCACAGTTGCACATGAAGGAGCCGTAGGTGTTGAAGCAGCCGTGACTGCATGGTTCATCTTCACACTCATCCACATCTGGAGGAACAACCGAGTTTAATACAACATCGGTACTCTGCATGGAAGTGTGCATGTGTGTTTATCTGTGTGACAGCAAGAAAAGAAAAGAAACAATGTGCTTGCCCATGTGTGTATGATTGTTTGTGGGTGTGCTTCTGTGTGTGTACCTTGACAGGTCCTGCTGTCTGGGTTGAGGATGAAGCCAGGGTTACAGGAGCAGGAATAAGAGCCAGGGACATTGGCACACAGCTGTTGGCAGTAACCATAGCGACATTCATCAATATCTGGTCAAAAAGAAAGAGACAAGCTGGTTATGAACCGTAACATATCAGTACTGCAGGTCTGTTTACTGTCATATAAATAAAAACCGAGTGTGAAAATTGTCAAGACAATTTTGATTTGATTTGGCAAAAACTTTGTTAAACTGCTTTACTGCAAAGAACAAGAAGAGGGCGCTGTTCTGCTAGAGTAGGGCTAAAGCTGTCAGAGGTCATAATGGCATTTAAATAAACCAGGACAGAAAGCAGTATTGTCTTTTTTAAATCATTGCTTGATGTGATATGCTTACAAGTAATATGGTCTTAGTTTTAGGAAATACTTGCACTGATATCCACACTTGGCCCCTGTCTCATTTGTAATGGACCGCTATGGTGGTTGATGCCAATAACTACAAATCATGTGCAATCCACTTTACTGCCAGATCAATTTTGTACCTTCAAGGCTGCAATTAGATTCATTACAGTATTGAAAAATCCATTCGAGGAACCAGAAACCTGCTTGACAGAGATAAACCATCTCAATGAATAATTACTCCACTTAATTACCTGGTAATGACCGGTGCTGTATGATAACTCTGAAACTCCTCTTGTTGGTGATTTTATGGGAATACCTGCAGACTTCAAACTCAACTGCTGGACCATCAAATTCACATTATCCTTTTTTACAATGTTTAATCAGCTAATTTCCTTCCAGATCTTTTCCAAACAACACAGCTTGTGAATACAATGCCTTTTTGAAACAAAACCCTAACCCTAACCCTTTCTAAGGTAAGAAAACACAATTATTTTCGGGTGATTATATTCTTTTTACTCCCAATACATCCTCCTAAATGTTAGACACTGGAACGGCATGCTAATGTTTAAAAATGTTAAAAACAGTTTACTCACCCTGGCACTGTCCACCAATTAGCCAGTATCCTTCAGTGCAGGAACAGGTGTAGCCACCTGCTGTATTGATGCAGACCTGGGTGGGGTTGCAGTGATGAGAGTTTGTCTCACATTCATCAATATCTGGAACAAGAGAAGGAGCAGAGAGAGGAGATGTTGTTAGATAGATAGATAGATTAGATAGATAGATAGATAGATAGATAGATAGATAGATAGATAGATAGAATAGAGTAGAAGTAGATAGATAGATTTAGATAGATAGATAGATAGATAGATTCAGGTTTACATATATTGCTCACATGCATTCCCACTAGACTAGAATTTACCCTGCTGATTTGGTTTGTTTCTCCACCACTCAGGCTTTCATCACTTTGTGTTTAAGAAACTCTTAACACAACAGCTAACATTTCAATACAGCATCAGCTTACAATTGTTTTTGCACAGGATTAAAGATTTCTCAGATTACAATCTGAATTCCTTTGACGCCCCTGGAGCAGCTCACACACTACATCATAATAGCCACATTTCCTTATGAGGATATGACAAATCAAGAATTCCATCTTCTGTTTATGGTTCTCAGACCATGAAGTCACCAATCTTTAGAAAAAACGGTGGGGGATTCGGGTGGGAGCCTGGCTTTCTGTTTGGACAGGCAGCTATGATAAGCGATAACGTCTGTCGGTGAGACCGCTGCCCTTTGTGCCAACTTGGACCACTGGCCCTACACGGGGGTGGAGGAGGCCCGGAGTGCTTGGGCCGCCCGCCAAAAGCTACATGGCCCCAGCACCTGATTGCAGTTACCAGTCAACCTCTTTGAATGGTCTTCATCTGCACCCCATGTGTACTGTAAGCCTTGTTGCAGATCTCCAACGTACACACACAGGCTTGCAGGAGTGTTTCAGCTCAGCTCCTTATATAGACTGTTTCATGAGCTGCTGCTGACAATCCTGATCAGCTTCAGGGAAGACATGACGGATGGGATTTGTATGAAATGGCTGAATGTAGTTCACAGTAAGAAAACTGAGAAAACCTGACCAGCTGAAAGATTTTCACACCAAGTTTGTACACAGACTGATCCCAAATAATCCCACAGTTGTTTTTAATGCCAGGTCCTCTCGGTTGCAAAGATTAACATGTCAGCTGTGTTCATCATCTACGCTCAAACCACATTGGAAAATACTCTGAATGTGATCAGAAGCAATTTATAACTGAGTGACGAGAGAAATATCACAGTCTTGTTTTCAGATCGATTATCAGGCATTCTTGAGTTTATCTGTTGGTTTTGAAAGCCCACAAGGTCGGAAATGTTTCTACAGCCGCAGAGGAGCATGTAATCCTTTAACTCAAGGAAAAACATTTATGAGCGGAAATGAACAGTACAGTCCAATGTGAAATTTAAAACAAGATGAGAGCTGAACTATCGAGGCTTTATTTCACTTATAACACTCTGGTTCATATGACAGCTTAAAGGGCCAATTCACCCGGCCTCTGCCACTTTTAGTGTCCGTTCAGGCAGGTAGTTTTAGTTTTATGTGCAGAATCTTTGAGCTATCTTCCTCCAAAATGTCTGCAGTAAATCCAGTAATGAAGGTGAATAGAATTTCATATGTTCTCCTTGAAAAACGATATTGGAAATATGTCCAGCTTATTCTGCTACATCTACAAACTCGCTGTAATAGTTTTATTGGAGAAGAGAGAATTTCTTTGGGAGAATATTTGAAGATTCTTCACAGTAAAGTCTGTGGAATATCACTATTTTTGGAAAGAGTTATGGGGGACACCCTTGTCCATATACTGGTTTAAGCAAGGCCCCCATAGTTCCAGTTAAAGGAATATTTAAACATTTTGTAAAACACACTTTATTGCTTTCTTGACAAGAATTATCTGTCCTTTCAGTGGGACGCTGGTGCTTAGCTTAGCCTAAAGACAGAAAACAGAGGGTACACCGCTAGCCTGGTTGTGTCCAAAACCCACTTACAATCACCTCTTTATCTATTATCTGTTATTTGTTTAATCCACACAAAAAATGTGTAAATCCGACAAGTGCAGTTGCAAGTTGTGACACGTTTTTTTTTTTTTTACTTTGGACTTGCTAAGCTACAGTTCAGACATGGAAATTCTTAATGCAATGGCATACAATGACTGTTTAGACTACAATTCTGTTTCCAACTTTGAGTCAACAGTTTGGAGAAGGCCCTTTTCTTTTTCAACATGGCCCCCGTGCACAAAGCCAGGTCCACAAAGTAATGATTGGTATGGAAGAACCTGAGTGGTCTGCACAGAGCCCTGACCTGGACTCCATCTAAAACCTTTGAGATGACCGCTAATGCAGGCGGTGAGCCAGGCCTTATCACCCAACATCAGTGGCCAAATTCATTAATACTCTTGTGGAAGAATTGGAGGAAATCCCTGCAGCCAGGCTCTGAAGTCTTGTAGAGTGGAGGCTGTTAAAGCTGCACGTGGGTTTGGAAAGTGTATCTGCATGTCTAGACACAACCGGGGATAAACAATAATGTCTTTTTGTAAATTGTATGCTGCTGCTGCAAGGATGGGTTTCAAAAATCAGCTAAGAGAGAAATAACATGCCATAATGCTTGCTTGTGAAATGCCTTTGCAGTACTATCTGACCTTGGAAACACAACCCCACAGATCCATACACGCATACCAGAGGGAAAGTTTGTCCTATTGTTCTCCCAGACTGGTGCCATTAGTGACACTGATGGAGCGTAGTGCCATTAGCTTTAAAGACAAAGCCATGTTTGTTGCAAGTTCAGACAGGAAGTCACAGTCTGTGTAATTTCTGCCCCATAGCAGCATCAATCAACAATCCATTACATCACCACACACACACACACACACACACACCAGCCTTCAGGGGTGTGAGGACTCCTTACGATTGGCCCCCACAGAGGCATGCCTGTTCTCCAGGCCCGGCTCAGGCACATATTTGGCAACAAATGACCTCATCTTTGGCACTCTGATGGTGTAGTTTACCCAAACAAGGTTGTGTGCCGATTCCCTGACAGGGCCTTCTCCCCTACAAAGGGAAACAGTCCGTATTTCTGCATGAGCTAAACTCTAAAGCTCTCTTTAGAAGGAGAAAACTGTACTATATGTGTACACTTTCCACTCATTACAGGGTCACGGCTGATTTATCCAAAATGACAGAAAAATGGCCCAAGTGGACTTTAAGGAGTCCATTTTCAACAGCTTGTCCCAGCTGGACACACTGTGGTAATTATGGTAAGATGTATTTAAGACAGCTGTGGCGGAGGAGAGGGGGGGGGGCATCAGACATTTACTGTTTATCTGACAGCTGGGATCTCTTGTGGTTGTGAAATTTAACAGAATCAATCAGAAAGCAGAAATTTACTCTCTGTGAGAAGTTGAAGGCCCCTCTGCTCCGGCTGGGTGACGGCAGACACGCTGCGACGCCGAGCATCAAACAACATCTGTCCCTGCGATCTGATGGATTCATGCATTCCCCTGGAGTTCAACCACGATCTTCAATAACTTACACTGAATTTCTGGCCTGCATCGCCTTTCCCTCGTGTCACCTCGTCCATCTAGTTTCACTCTAACATCTGATAAACAGCAGGAGGTGGCAGATGTGGGGACTGTCTCTCTCAAAATATTCACATGGTTCGAGCAGAGTCGCTGCAGAGATTCAGCAAAGGGGCTAGAAACTGGAAACAGCTGCAGCAGAGGACAGACCACCATCATCCACCCCTGCATCTCTTGAACAGTGAACATTCACTACACGTCACCTTTTAAGACTCACTTAACTCTTGCAGCTGCCAAGGGAACCGCTAAAAGTGAGGATCTGATGGCTTTAAAAACTGTTGGAAAAGTGATTCTAGGAGAGCTAATCTGACCCTCATCTAAAAGTGGCTCCCAACTGAAGGGATCAGGATCGATGTCGAAGGGTTTGATCATAAATCTGAGAGGTTACAAGACGATAAACATGGTAGAAAAGTAAAAAAATTATATTTCTGGGGATTTTGCATCAAAGTAAAATAGACCAATTTAAAAGGTAAAAATCACTCTTTCTTTAAATAAAATATGTAATTTGATTACAGTTAGATTCAGTAAAAGTGTGGATTATTAGCAGGATTAAAATAAAGAATGATATACTACAATGCACATGCACAGTGCGTATACAATACAACAAATTTGGTGTTGAGGTAAACCAAAAATAACAGAAAGTAATCAAGCTATGTTACTTTAATATTGTTATACTACATTTTAACAGATAATTAATGTTTGTATTGCATTACATTTTTAAAATGACCCTCCCAGCCTGGGTGGTACAGTATATTTAACTTGTGCACGCAGACACAGCCTCACTTTAAGGGCTCACGATCCAACTGTGGTTGCAGAAACAACAAACTGACTTCGGGCTCACTGGCTACATTGTGATGAATGGGTAGTACATGCTGACCCATTGTGGAGAACCAAACAAGGTTTTGTGCGGATGCTATAAGCAAACAACTGAAAACAATGAGCAGCAGTTTACGGGAAGTTGAAGAATCTTGACAGATAAGACCAACAGAGACGTGATGTGGTATTTCCTCCACATTTTTAAATCTGTGAGGTTTGCAACACAGTAGATGTAATGACTGTGTTTATGGTAATATATCAGTAACAGGAGACATTTTTCTGCATAACAAGTGCCTTTACTTTTGATTCTTTAAGTACATTTTGCTGCTTGATTGTAGATTATTGTATTGGTACTAACGTTAGGTAATTCATCCCACTACTGAAATCAGAGGATGTGTGACTCACCATTACAGCTGCCATCCTCTGCAACAGTATATCCCAGGATGCATTGCGCAGTTGTCCTCACTCTGGGGTAGCTGGGCTCCACAGATCTCGGGGGATCTGGGAGGAAGGTTTCTGAGAATCCGACCGACGTGTCCGGGTAACCTCGCTCTGGCAGGCCTGGGGTGTCCGGTCTGTACGGCTGGCTGTACAAGGTCCTTGGGATGCACAGGTAGCCTCCGTTCTGGTTCACACAGCGCATGTCTCCTCTGCAAGCATCTGGCAGGGTACGGCACTCATCCACATCTGGAAAACAGAGAAGTGCACTGATAAGGCCATTCCTGCATCCAGAACATCTGTGGGCTTGTGATCCATTTGCTTCTTACTACTATGTTAGTTTATCACACTCCACTGTGTTCTTACTCTAGATACAAGCCCAAAATATAACTTTTTTCACAATAGTTGAAGTCAAGTCACTTACCTATACACTGTCTTGCCCTGCGGTCATATGCAAAACCTTCTGTGCAGGTCTGAGGAGAGATGATCAACCATAATTCTTTTGACCATAATTCATGTCACCTGGAGTTGAACTCATGAAATATGTATTTCTATGAGAGTTTTATCTGCTTCAATCTGCCTTTCTATCTCTACATATTGATTGTGTGGCTATTTAACATAGTTTTCTTGTGTAAATAAAGCAGCTGACTACATCAAAATGCAGGCTATGACCATGACCTTAGTCTAAAATGAATGAAAACATGACTTCAGGAAAGGAAGTTGTTATGTTACCTGTCCGTGACCAGGCTGGATACAAAGCAGAATAAATACCAGAGCTGCCAACATCCTGCAAAGAGGGGATTTTAAGTTTACAGAGACAGCATCCCGTTACATATTCATTCAAACACATAACGAAAGCAAAAACAACTCAGCTAAGTCCATTACGCAAAAGTAAAGCCACATTCAGAAATACAACGAAGATTACTGACCTTGCACAGGAGCAAAACCTGAAGCCACGTATTTCAAAAAGCATGGTTTATGGTTTCTCTCAAAGGAAAGATCAAGACGACCCGTAAATTCTCCCCAAATCCCCTCTCCACTACCCAGCAGGGCTCTCGCCACCCCCCAACTATGCGCCTTTACGCGAAAGCCGACACCAGGTTTTCATTAACCGCTGTCTGGTCGAGCTGAAGCTCCGGCACATTGACCAACTGTTGCAGGAATGCCTTTTTCAAAATGGACTGTTCTGTCTCTGCCCCACTCTGTCGGCTCTACGGATTATTTAGCAATGCAAATTGACGGGCCCCCTCCGAGCGCTTTCACAACAGCTGGATTCAATCAGGGAGAGCCAGCCCCCTCCAGTCAGAGCGCGCAGAGAGACAGCGGCCCCACAGCGGCGCACTCTCTCCGACAAGCTGCTACTCCTGTGTCGTT